CGACTTCCATCTTTTCATGGCTGACAGTCAGGGTTATCTGAAGAGAAGATAACGACAAGAAAATGAGCTTCCAAACAAAAATCTCTCGATACTGTATATGTCTTCTCATATTAAAATTGATGAAAAACCCAAATGTTTTAGTTTGAGGGAAGTTTTAATATTTTATGTAATTTGTTCCTAACCTTCAACTCTTCCAGAGCAATGTTTTCAGCGCGCAGAATTGCCCGTTCTTTCTTTGTCTCTCTGGCATGGACCTCCTTGTCAGCTAGAGCAGGGGTCCCCAACCGCCGGTCCGCGGACCGGTACTGGTCCGCAGGGCATTTGGCACCGGGCCACACAGAAAGAACTTGCCTTAATTCCGTTTTATTTATTTCGGAAAACAGAAGATGTTTTATTTTGAAAAATTACCGGATACTCCGTTACATCCGTCTGTATGACGCTTGACACACGTCAAGCCACGCTTCTCTGTCACATGACCGATTACGCTAAAAACAAAACGCCGGAGCTCGCAAACAGAGTAAAAAAACTGCTGGAGATGGCAAATAATGGCGGCCTTAAAAGTACGTTTGAGACAACTGGATTAAAGTCAAGGCTGAATACTCTGAGAATGCCACAAGCACTGTTGCTATTTCCGACATCCTACATGTGTGAGGCGGGGGTTTTCTGCAGCTACGGCGACTAAAACAAAATTACGAAGTAGACTGGACATAAACCACACACTTGAGGTGTCATTGTCTCGTATTACTCCGAGATGGGACCGTCTGGTTGCAGAAAATCAAGCTTGGGGCTGTGGTGAATTTTCATGCACTTTGAATTTGTGTTGTATCGTATTTTGAAGGCATTAAACATTACCGTAGCGATAAGAGTGTTGCGGCCAGATTACACGCTCCTTGTGTTTATTATTATATTTCGAAATCACCACAGTTGTCATGCAGCTCATACCATATTATTTTGTTGTATTATTTCCACCACACCTTAAATGCCGGTCCCTGAAAATATTGTCTGACATAAACCGGTCCGTGGGGCAAAAAGCTAGAGAAAGACAAAGCTTCGCCACTTCTTCAACCAAATCCTTACCACACAAAGAAGGGAAAAAGTATTTGTAGTATGTATTGAAATATAAATCCTACAAACGATGCATGCAAATAATCAGTTAAAGTTACATAATTGTGCGGGAATGTCGCGTGTGTGCGTGTATCTTTATTTTTTTTATGTAAAGAAACAATCATATTACTTTGGCAATGTTTCATTCTGGTAATCAACAAAGGAGAAAGAAAGCTTGTGGTATCTGTTATTTTCTGTGGAAATGTTAAACAATTCAATAAACTGAAAATGTTAAACAATTCAATAAACATTCTCACTGTTCGGAAAGAAAATGTGTAATGTTATCGACCACGACATACAAATACTCCACACGTACCATATTCTGAAGATCATCAGCAATTTGGGTTTTCTTCGTCAGCTCTTCAGAAACATTCTGCAATTTTTTCTAAAGAAAATAAGTAAAAATAAAAAAAGACATTGGATTTTTTTTAATGTACTGTTGAACACATGACTTTTTTTTTTAAATCAAAATGAACAGTTGAAATTACCGTGTTCTGTTACTGAAACTATTTATGCCCCTTGAAAAAAGTGTGAACTCTCAGGCACCTCACCTCAAGTTCCATGCGTCGGTGGCCACAGGATTTCAGAGTGTCCTTCACTGAGCAAATTTGGTGTTCCAACTCGCTCTGTGAGATCAGAAACATTTAACTGTTGTCAATGCATAAATGGAAAGTTTTAGACAGGACAAGGCAATATCCCGACGTATCCTAAAACATGTGGTGGTTCATTACAAGTACTGCAATGCTTTTAAGTAGTGTATCACGTTCATTTAAGATGTTCATAACTGGAGACAAAAGTTACAACGATTCTTCCTTGTCTCAGTTTTCAGAATACGGCAAAACTAAATAAACTGTCCTCACTTCACAGTATCACTGAGCTTTTCCACCTGCACATTTTTGGAAAATATATTGTCAGGGCAAGTGACCAAAGGCGGGAAATTGTGTTGGGTTGCACATTTGATACACTAAGAGAATCTTGGAGCTTCGAAAGGCAAAGTTTCAAAAACAAGCAGCATATTTTGAAAATAGCACCAGTAAAAACCATCACAAAAAACAATGGCAGCCTGCACGACATATTTTAAGGAGTTTGTTTTGCATGTCAGTTTTAACGGAGATCATTTTGACAATGTCGATTGTCATCAAAACTCAAATGAACATTCTTGGATTTTGATTAACGCATTTCCTTAATTACCCCAAGAGCGATGAATTCCTGCAGTTCGGCCTTTTCCCTCAGCTCCCGTGAAAGAGCATTTTTCTCCTTCTCCAGTATTTGAGTCCGCCCGACGACAAAGTCCAGTTCCTGCTTGGGATGGTTGCGCTCAGATGCCAGCATATCCTAGAAACACACCCAAAAGCAAAAATTCCTCAGTTGTTTCCTGGTGTGCATGTCATTTTGGTGGCACAATTGTATACGACTGATTCAACTTTTACATGCAGCGACTGCTTCACATGAAATCATTGACTGAAATTGACATTTAAAATCATAAACTGCCGTCAGTAACAATGATGTTGCACTTCCAAGATGCTGAAAGCGATTCACTTCCGAACATGGAAGTCAAGATCAGAAGTCCTTCAGACAATGAAAATAGGCTCCACCGCTGAACTTTGCAAAAGGCATGTGGCAAAAGCATTTACTCATTAACATGGAGACCTTTAACCAGGGATATGCTTTCAATACACATTATTTGTAAAGGGAAAAATGTGTTTTATACATTGTGTTCTATGTTCCAACGCCAACATTATAATGAACGAATGGGAAGGACAATGTCACAGTTGGTCATCAAGATTGCTCTGCTCATGTCAAGGGAGAGCTTAACACAGCTTTACTTATGCAGGCAACCAATGAGACATTCTACTCGCTTGGGTGGGCATTCTGAAAGCTGTGTCAAATATTTATTTTCATGTATTCAAATTGAGGTCACAAAAATGACACGGCTCTCTCAAAAAAAAAAAAAACAAGAAAAAAAAAACGTAATACCTGTTGTGCAATGTCAAAACTGAGCACCTTTACCCTTGGAAAGGCATAATATTAAGCCAGTGCCTATCAACGTATTGTGCAAAAAGTAAGAACATGTTTCTATGCTTTACAAGTGGTTACGCTGTTGTGCCTGATTGGTCTATACCTGTGATTCTCAAACAGTGGGGTGCGACCCCCCTGGGGGCGGGGGGGGGCGGCGTTTTGCCTCGGGGAACATGCTTTTTTAATTTAGATTTTTTTTTCCTGTCCGAGAATGAAGTGCAATTACATCTCTACTACGTTAGGGGGCAGTGGCGCTCTCCTTGGCAGAGTGCGCAGGGAGCATTCGCTCGGTGTTTTGTTGGCATTGAGCATGCGCGCTTTGCACACGGCACCCGTTGATATATTTTTTTTTTTTTCATGAAAATTCAACAGATTTATTCTCCTAAAAATACAAGTCAGAGAACCTTTCAATTCATTCATTTGCAAGGGAATTTTTCCCAACCCATACACCGACTTCAACCACTGCAGCCTCACCTGAACATCTCTTTGAAACAAAAACAAATTTTAAACACAACATTTGAAAAAGAACTCGTAAGGACCACAAAAGATTGAAGGATATGATCGAAAAGTGTCGTCATAAAAGTGTCAAAAGAATCCTATCACAGAATATTGTTCTAACTATTGTATATGTCCATGTAAGACACTCTGAGAAGAAACTCCTTCTTTGGACACTGCAGACCAAACAGAAATCCTCCGTGGTTAAATGATATTGACCAACAAAATGTAGCACAATCACAAAAACATGAAACAAAACTACAACATATTTGACCTTTTTTATGGTTTCAAAGACGTCATCAACAGCCAGTGGGACGGCAGCAGGGGACCACAAAAGATTGAAGGATATGATCGAAAAGTGTCGTCATAAAAGTGTCAAAAGAATCCTATCACAGAATATTGTTCTAACTATTGTATATGTCCATGTAAGACACTCTGAGAAGAAACTCCTTCTTTGGACACTGCAGACCAAACAGAAATCATCCGTGGTTAAATGATATTGACCAACAAAATGTAGCACAATCACAAAAACATGAAACAAAACTACAACATATTTGACCTTTTTTATGGTTTCAAAGACGTCATCAACAGCCAGTGGGACGGCAGCAGGGACATGATCACTCCCCATCATTGTGAACGTCTTTCCGGAGGAGGTCTGACCATAAGCAAAGATGGTACCTGTTTCAACCCAGCACCTGTACCTGCAATAATATTGCCTAAAACGGCAAAGTTGGAGGCTCACTGCCCTCTGCACAAACTGTCTTGTTTGATGAGCAATGCTTTCTTGAGTTACACGCACTTTCAACCCTGCAGACACTAGCGGTGCAGGATTCATTATGTTTCCTGTTTTTGATGTTGGTCTAATTGAGAGTTTATGTTGTCTGTTCAGTGATCATCCCTCTTGACGTGACACTCATCCACACACAAACCAGATATATTTTGGAATAGATTAAAATATGGACCATGAAAATGAACTGGTCCTGCCGTGTGTTTTTTGATTACTCTGTCTTCACAGCAAATAATAAGATGAAAGTGAGAAACATTCATGAACCACTAAAACACAACGAAGCAACACTTAACGTTTTCAGGTACATATAAAATGTACCTTCTCATATTTTCAGTTCAAAGCATACAAACGTACTCCTGCGCTTTTGTTCATTCTAAGCGATGTATTACTGTATTGTATTTGTGAAATACGTTTCAATAAAACATTCACGGTTTTTGAATAAGCACACTTTTTGCACGGTGGAAGTTTGCAGCGCAGTCTCTAGCCTCATTGAAATGAGAGAAATCGGCAAATCACAATTAAGCACGTGACCTTATTCTCCAATCCTAGTTCTCCTTGTTCAGCTCGGCGACAGATGTCTTCACCAATCACATTGAAGCATATGACCATTACGAACCAATCGTAACAAGCTCGCTCGTATCGGCTCTACTTCCGTTTTTGATAAAGCACGGCAACCGTAAGTAAGAACCTCTTGGTGTTTTAACACATGTTTACAAATTTTCCCCACCGAAACGTCGTTTGTTACACTTATAGAATTTAAGATGAATTATCATGCTATATGCTGTCAACACTGAGCTGAGAACAATGGTCTGGTTTCAAAGATGCAGCGTCATCCTGTGCGAGTGTAGTCGAAAAATAGCCAGAATATTTGAAAACAAACAAGCGATCAATACAATACGTGACAAAGACGTACAAAACGACATTTCTCTTACTTTAATGCAAAAAAAAAAACCCAGCAATGTTTAGGTCAGTCACGGAAGATCGCCTCTTCGTCTTCTGTACCTTGCAGTAGTCATCGTCATCATCATCATTATGGCCTCTGGAGCTTTGTTCCCCAGCATGGTGTCTGGCACTCGCGGCTCCTCCAGTAAGTACCTGGTGGAGTTTCGAGCTGGAAAGATGACCATGAAGGGCAGCACGGTGACCCCCGACAAGCGCAAAGGCCAAGTCTACATCCAGCAGACGGACGACTCCCTCATCCACTTCTGCTGGAAGGATCGCACCACTGGAAATGTGGACGATGTACGTGGCTGTCGGTTTTCTGTAGGGAAGATGTTTGCAAAACGTTTCTTTTCAGAGACACACCTTGCCCTCACGTTTTACTGAAAAAGCACACGCATTCTCTGAGCAAGTAACTTTAGGAAGCAAGCAAGCCAGGATTGGACATAACAGGGAAAGTAACACAAACTAGCACCTATAACAGCGGTCCACAACAAATTTTAATCTTGAGGTGACTGTATGTGTCCCTTATTTTCAACCTGATTCAGAAAACCTCAAGCAGATTAAGTTTCTCAGATATTTTCATTTTATCATTTTTAGGGTTTACCTATAATGTTCTAATACATAATGATAATAATTAACAATTTAACAAAACTTTGCGTAAAACTATTTTTACCATGCATTGTATTTGATAGCTACAATGTCAAAGGAAAAACAATCCGCCTGTTGCTAAATTCATTCATTCATTCAAGTTAATTCATAACTATTCCTAATTTTATAACTATTACATTGTATTGTTGTTATTAATATTATTATGAAAACTTGATGTGCTAGAGGAAAATAACGATGGTCGATTAGCATTTGGTGCAAACAATTTTTTTAAAAATCTAGAAAAGTTTCCTTGCATGTCTGATGAAAAACATTTGTTGGCCAGTGTTATTTATAAACGGCAGCACGCTGAGTGACTGGTTAGGATGTCCGCCTCCTGGTACAGGGGTCCACGGTTCTCCAGTTTCCTCACGCGTTCCAAAAACAAGCATGGCAGGTTAAGTGAAATTGTACCTAGGTGTGAGTGTGAATAACCATTCACACTCACTTTTGTCTGTGTGTGCTCTGCAACTGGCTGGCAACCAGTTCAACGTGTATGTACTCTTGCCTACTGCACAAAGAGGGCTGTTATAGGCCCCAGCACACCCGCGACCCTCGTAAGGATAAGCGGTGCGGATGGATAGATGGATGTTACTTGTAAACATTTTCAACTGAACTCAACTGTATTTATAGAGCACTTTCAAACAGCCATCGCTGCATACAAAGTGCTGTACATGGAGCAATTTAACATATACAACAAACAGTAAAGCAAATCGGTAATAAAGACGGTAGAAAGCACCGAACAGCAAAACCAAGAACAAATCTAAGTCATGCTGAGTCAAATGCCAAAGAATATAAGAATAAAAGCTTTGTAGTCTTGAGGCTGCTTACTTAAAAAACAAGAACTTCCCAACAGTTGACAACTATGCAAAACCTGATTTCTTCTGCATGTATGAGTCCTGATGTCAGAGGCTATGTTCAGACTTCAGACTTACTTAAATCAGATAGCTCCTCAAATCCAATTTTTAGGGCTGACTGTCAACACTGTTCACTGTCATCACCAAATCGGATTCGGCCCTGTTCAGACTGGGCAACATTATCGACTCATCTGCCAGGTTGCTTTGGCAATCTCCCGGCAGACCGATGAGGCAATGCAATTGCCTCCTCTGTCTAGCTACTGCAGTCTTAAATTTCTTTGACTTGTACCTAATGTAAAGAGACTCATGCAAATGGAACAAGGCTCTAAAGCAGTGTTCCGGTCTAGTGACGGTCCAGTACAGTGGCTACGGCATGAATAGGTTTTCATCTTAACCACATGCTCAAATGCAGGACCTGATCATCTTCCCCGATGACTGCGAATTCAAACGGGTCAGTCAGTGCACCACCGGCCGTGTCTACGTACTGAAGTTCAAAGCTGGCTCCAAAAGGCTTTTCTTCTGGATGCAGGTATACTGCTTGCTGATCTCTCCCCCAACATATCCATACACACGTGTTGCATACAAGTCTATCTTGATTTCAGGAGGCCAAGACTGACAAAGATGAGGAGTACTGTCGCAAAGTGAACGAGTATCTCAACAACCCGCCCATGCCCGGCACTTTGGGTAGCGGCGGCAGTGGCGGACATGATCTGTCTGCTCTTGGAGGTAACATACAAGTACACACACACAAACTAACATTGGCTTTGTTGTTGTTGTTATTGTTCTGCCCCCCTCCCCCAAAAGAACTATATATTTTTTAATATTGTCCAATCTCAGTTATTGTACAGTCAAACCTCAGTTTTCGTCCATAATCCTTTCCAGAAGGCTGTTCGAAAACCGAAACCACGCTCTTTTTAAAATAAAAATGTTTACTCAACACGTCTGCTCAAAATGGAAAGCAACATGAGGCAACGTCACTTCCTCGTCTACCCGAGGAAGCGTCACTTCCTCGTGTAAGGAAGGCGAGAGGAGTCAAGTGACACATTCAAGTGCGCTCAGTTTGTTCGAGAAACGAAATTTGTTCGTCATCCGAGGCATAAAAAAGTCGAAATATTTGGTCGAAAACCGAATTGGTCGAGAACCGAGAGGTTTGACTGTAATTATATATCATCACTTTGCAATTTATGTATATAGAAATTTCGATGGTGTAGGACTTTTAATACAAAAGCCAAATCAGTGCTACTTTTACTTTTTGAATACCCGTACACATTTCTGTACTTTTAACTCAGTACAGGGTGCGAGTACTTTTCCCACGTTGGCATGCAATGTGTAACATCTTGTGCTTTCATGCAAAGGCGAGGGTGGTCTGCAGAGCCTTCTGGGGAATATGAGCCACAACCAGCTCATGCAGTTGATTGGACCAGCTGGACTTGGCGGCATTGGTATGTCTGATGGAACTTGAGTGATGCCAGAAAGATATTGTGATGTTGAGTTACAAAAGGAGCTGTCGGTCCCACTCGCAGGTGGTCTTGGCGCACTTGCTGGCCCAGGGTTAGCAAACCTCTTGGGCAGCAGTAGCAGCAGCAGTAGCGTTCCTGCTGCCAGCAACTCCTCTACAAGGTGTCCAAAGATTACTTATAAATGTGATAAGGCTGCTAGAAGGATGTTAAAATACTTTTTTTTTCCCCCCTCCATTTGCTTTCAGTCCTTCTACTGTGGTCACGCCCACCTCGACCTCCGGCGCCAGTCGCCTCGGTGCCTCCCAGGCATCCACTGCGTCCGTCAATCCCTCAGCCGCCTCTGCAGCATCCCCGCCTGCGAGTACTCCTCCCACGCCCACACCTGCTGCGTCGTCCGCCGCAGCAGGAGCCGTGGCGAGCAACCCAACGCAGCCCATCCAACTGAGAGACCTGCAGAGCATCCTGGCTACCATGAACGTGCCCGCTGGCAGCACAGGAGGTGAGGAGGCCACTGTAGTACTTGAATTCCATCAGCATTTTCCTGACTCAAATTGAGGTAAAGATAGTGTGTGTACATATGCCACACCCCCCCATTGGTCAAGCCAACACTTTTTCTGTGAAGTGGTTACATACATTTGAGTTTGACTTCAGGTGACTGGTGCAGTCCTTTGTGTGTGTGTGTGTGTGTGTGTGTGTGTGTGTGTGTGTGTGTGTGTGTGTGTGTGTGTGTGTGTTTTTTGTTTTTTTTAAATAAATCATAGCCATGTAACGACGCTGCTCTTCCATATTGTTGGTAAAATAATAATAAGGCCAAGTGATTAAAAAAAACTAAAGTAAGATTTCAAATGACATACATACATAGGGTTTTGTCAGTGACCTGCACTGGAAGCTATTGCTTTTTGTTGTTTTCTGAATGCAGAAGTCAAATATGTCTTGTTTTACCATAACTTATCACATTAAAACATGAACCTTGGCATGTACAAATGCAATACTGAACTTTTTTTCCTAGTGTTTCAGCAATTGCTTCTGTAGTAGTGGTTTTCCAGAGAGGGCTGTCTATGACTGAAAACGAAGGGTTCATGATTGATTGGCCGGGATTGTTATCAGGGCCCATTTCCTTCATTTTGGGGGCGATGGGTGATCGGCTGAGCCCTTACACTAAACCCGATCTCTTCCACCAATCCCATCTCCCTCCCCAGAGGAATGAGAAAGTTAGCCATCTTCTGCTGTGAGATGAATAAGAGCCTTTTCATGTTATTTCGCGAACTACTTTATGTCGAGTTAAAACAATCAAAGTGTATTGTTCGATATTTAAAAATGATACAAGATTGGAACATTGAGGGTGCATGCTGTTATGAAAAAGATTCAGGATCAGCAAAAATTGGGATCAGCAGGTCAGGCTTGTTAAAGATCAGTAAATCAGCCAGAAAATTGTGTGATTGGTGCAACCCTACTGAAAATGCTATTATAATGCATATTGCTGGTGTTTTGGCTGGAACAACCTATTTTTTCACAAATCTATACTCTTGGTCAGTCAATCCACATGTGTAGGTGTCCCCCCCCCCCCCCCAAAATATTGTCCAATCTAAAGTATTGAAAATGGCTTGCTCTCTTTGACGACGCAATGGTAATGGCTGAACGCACATTCTGTTTTTGGGGTCTCCGCAAAAGTGATCATTTTGGAAGCTGTAAGCCTGATGTCTTTCCCCACAGTGGACCTGGCCACTGCCCTGACTCCAGAGGTGATGGCTCCCATCCTGGCCAACCCTGAAGTGCAGCAGAGACTGATGCCCTTCCTGCCCAGTGGGGAGTCCCTGCTCCAGAGCACGGATGAGCTGCAGACCACGCTCAGCTCTCCGCAGTTTCAGCAGGCAAAGTTTTCAATTTGATTTGTTTGTTTGTTTTAGCAGTTTGGGCAGTCTTAAGGGGTGTTCACATGGCAACTTTTACTCCGGTGTTGCACCGGGGCTGCCCCCCGTAGAGCGTTCATACGTACAAAGTTACACCGGTGTAGCCCCTGAAAACAGCTTAAACTGGAACAAATTTAACCCTGGTCAGGAGGTGGTTTAAAAATTTACTCTGGTGTAAATGCTAGTTCCCAGGGCATCATCAATATAAAATGGGACGTGTGAACGATACAGGAGTAGACGCGCTACGCGTGAGAAGAGTCTATTACATACGGGTAGAACGCGTTGCTTTCGTGCTCTGTTGTACTTGCGTCATCTTTCCTTTCTCTCTCTCATCCTTGTACGGTGTCTGATAGACCACAGCGTTGATTTGTCTGGAGAAGTATAAACCATGTTTTTTCCATATGTCACAAACAAGGCGGGGAAAAGGAAGTACACTTTACGCATACCCTGCTCAATGTCTCTCTGTTTTATTTCCATATTATAACACGGCCGCAGAAACTTCCATGTGAACACAAGTGGGGCTGCACCAGGGTTAACACGCTTCTCTTTTCGTAAGCAGCTTCATACGCTGTATGTGAACGCTCCGCAAAATTTACACCGGTGTAAGATATATCGCAACAAAATTCATCGATGCAGCACCGATGCAAATGTTTTTTGGAAATCATACCTGAGCAATTTGAGTGTCTTTTTAAACCGAGGCCAATGCAAACATTCAGTGTAGCACCTGGAGAAAACAGGATTCAGTTTATGTTTCAACTTTAAACTGACAATGTGAACAATATTTTCAGGAAGAATAAAAGCAAATCGTTTTCCATTCAGTGTCCTTTTAAATTGTAACATCAAAAATGTATCTTGTGCAAGCAGACAGGTTAGGGCGTCACATTGTAATGCCGACCTACTTTGCGTCTCCAATCACAAATCTTGAAAACAAAGTTTGCTGATTTTATTACACAAACTTGACAACAGAGGACAATGTTTCACTTTTCAAATCGCTCACTCAATGACGTCAGGAAAAAAAACTACATTCATTGGGAGTATTCAACTTCTCATTTGGATACTGTCTCATGCTGTGGCATTATTTGGGGACTTTTAAAACTGAAATGTTTCCAGCATTGTTGCATCCCTAACTTTTACATATCAACAAATTTGGCTTTAAAAAAAAACAAAGCAATTATCACCATACTTGGAAATCTTGAAACAACATCAAATCATGTGCAATTGCTGCCTAGTACATTTCCTCCATTCCAATTCAACACACATGTTCTCAAGTTAACCTGAAGCTCTTTGTTTGGATTTGCTCCCTGCAGGCTATGAGCATGTTTAGCAGCGCTCTAGCATCGGGGCAGTTGGGGCCACTGATGAACCAGTTCGGGTTACCAACAGAGGCTGTGGATGCTGCCAACAATGGAGGTCAGTAGTACACATCAGTTTGTCACTTCTTGGGACACTGCAATATTAACACTGTAGTTGTGCAACTACAAGAAGGTTTTTTTCCTCAAATAATACATCTTGACCACTGTCAGCCATAATGAACACCATGATTTTTTTTTTCTTTTTTAAGTACGATTTCTGTTTTCTTTTTCCACTTTGTCTGCAGATCTGGAGGCGTTTGCAAAAGCAATGGAGACCGACACAAAGTCGGATCAGGACGGAGACACCAATGACAAAAAGGACGATGATGAAGACATGAGTTTGGATTAAACAATGATACAAACGCATTTCTTTAGCGAATGCGATTAGAGTGTTACAGCTCCTTCCGTGCATTTAAATAATAAAGATGCAACAATGATTACAATCAGCGTTCTACTTGTATCCTACCCACAAAGAAGCATAAAAGAACACTTCCTGAACAGCAGCACAATGCGGGGAGGTAGGGATAAAGTCAACATGCAATTCTTCCACCTGTGGAAGTAATATTAGAGCTGTGACATTGTTGCATTTAATTATGTGATTCCAGTATGCAGCGAATTCGGGAAATCCAGCAAGTACGGTAATTCATAAAGTCTGGGCTGAGTATTTTATGAAACGTGTGATTAACTGTAAGCAAACTGTTGACGTATGAAGCCATTCTGTTTTCAGAAGTGCTTCGCATGCTGGTGCAATTCATAAACAGATGAAGGTGAAAAAAGTTTAAAAAAAGATACCTTGTAAACTTAAAAAAAAAAGTTGCTGTGTTGGAGCCTGGTCAATTGCCTATGCCAAATATGATTGTTTATCCTTTTTCATTCATCTTCCGAACGCTTCATCCTCACGAGGGTCGCGGGGGCGTGCTGGAGCCCATCCCAGCTGTCTTCGAGCAGGAGGCGGGGGACACCCCGAATTGGTTGCCAGCCAATCGCAGGGCACACAGAGACAAACGACCATGCACGCCCACACCTAGGGACAATTTAGAGTGTTCAATCAGCCTGCCATGCATGTTTTTGGGATGTGGGAGGAAACCGGGGTACCAGGAGAAAACCCACACAGGCCCGAGGAGAACATGCATACTCCACACAGGGAGGCCAGCGCTGGAATTGAACCCGGTACCTCTGCACTGTGAAGTCAACGTGCTAACCATTGCACTACCGGGGCACCACTATGATTGTTTAGTTTGCTAAAAATAATAAAAAAAAAATTAATATGACATTTTCTTGATCCCCTGAAGTACGGATAGGTACGTTCATATATCCTCGTCAATCCATGTACATGGAGAACATGTTCCAAAAATCACACGATGTCCCTTATTTTTTAAACACTGTAATAGTTCAACACAAACGCCATGTCACATTGGATTCGTGATTTTGTACCATAGCATTAACCACAAATTAAAACCATTACATGAATAAACTCCACAAAATATAATTCTTTCCAGCTGAGGTCACTCGTGAAGTCCTTTTTGTGTCCTACGTAGCACAAATTTACCACCTACAACTATGCAGCTTTTCTATCACAACGTACGAGGGTAAGTCAAAAACTACCCGCACTTTATGCTACAGCGCGCTCTTGCGTTTAAATTCGATGCACGTGATCGCGATCAACTGATATACTGGATAGTAGTTGATCGATTTTAACAGTCGTTCTTGTAGTACGGGATCGCGCCACACGGGGACGCCTCTTTGCTTTGTTGTGTCAGTTGCTCACCTTTTTCCTTGAACACCTGCAGTACACTTTTTTGTTGTTGTCATGGACATAGTGCTCTTAACCCTGGAGAACCCAAGAACCCTTTTCTTCTTTGGAAAATGATGAATTATACATTAAATGACTGCTATATGTTCACTGAACACCAAAATATATGTTTTTTCAAATATTCAATGCTGTAATCCTAGTTTAGAATTCGGGCCAAATTTGATCCATTGGGATTTAAGGGTAGCATTATAGGGGCCAAATATGACCCCGTGGGTTCTCCAGGATTAAGTGACGTGTAGAAAATATGAGTGACTGTTATTTTGTTAAGAATAAACAAGTGTTTGTCAAAACTCAATAAGTCTTTCCTCCTTTGGCTGTCCAACAGCACATGTCCAAGGCTGGTTTCCTCGGCTGACACAACCACGTTACATGTTACACGTGTTTGTTTCAGTCGATAAAAATGTTTGCTCCACTAGCAGAAGTACCAGTCAAGAACAGCGCGCAGTTATCCGATTTTTATGGTCAGAAGGTATGTCTGGGGCTGAAATTCACCAGAGGTTCTGAGCACAATATTGAAACAGCGCACGATCAAAATAAAGTGTGTACGAGTGGATTGAAAAACTGTCAAGTGGCCGGAACGAGCTTGTTCACGGAGTGGCCATTTAACAATCGATCAAACAAATATATCACCCGATCGCGATCACCGTGACTCTCAAGTTCTCGCGTGAAGGGAAAATTGCATCAAACTTAAACACAAGCTGTAGCGTAAAGTGCGGATCATTTTTGACTTACCCTCGTAAAAAGCATCACAAGGGCAAGTGTTGAAAAAGATTTAAGATTTAAAAAATATGCACATAACCTCCTCTCTGAGCAACCACCTTATCGTGTTGGAGGGGTTTTGTGTTTCCCGGTGATCCTAGAAGCTAATTTGTCCCGCCCTTTTGGGAGTCCTTGGGGAAGGTGATGGGGGGGCACTCCCACTGGGGACTCCCTCGTTTTGCTCAGGAACCTCAACGCTCACATGAGCAATGACAGTGAGACCAGCAAGGGTGTGATTGGGAGGAATGAGTGAAGCTATGGAGAACAACTTATGGATGGCTTCGAGGAAATTCTGCCCTCCCATTTGGCGTTTCATTAGGGCACAGGTGTCAAACTCAAGCATGTGTATGTACCGAAATCTCAAATTGTAATGTGTAATAAATAACGTTGAGATTTTGCAATAATTGTGTTACCCTGTATACACTCACTTGAACGGTAATTGAACAAACTATTATAATTGACTGATTTCAAAACGAGTAAGCTATTCATTTGTTGTGTACAAGTAATAATTTTGTGGTTTCACTGTCAACGGCGCTTCGAGGGAAGACGCAACTCCAAATTGGCCCGTGACTGAAATGAGCTTGATGCCTCTGCATTGGGGGAAGCAGTGCACCATGTGTATACTCTGTGTATTATGGAGATTGGGCATTGATATGTTCCGCAAGGCTCTGGGTGTTGTGGGGCTATTCTGGTTGACATGCCTCTACAGTCTACACCATTGCATGAAAATTGGGGACAGTGTCTCTCGATTGGGCAGACTGGGGTGATGGTTCTTCTTTCTAAGAAGGGTATCCAGCAGGCGTGTTCCAACGAAAGGGGTGGGGGATTCAGAGTCTTCACCCTCCCTGGTACGGTCTACTCAGGGATGCTCGAGATGACTGTCCATCGGGAAGTTGAATCTCAGATTCAGGAGGAGTGTAGTTTTCATGCTAGCCATGAAACAGTGGATCAGCTCTACACCATTAGCAGAGTCCTTGAGGGTGCATGGGAGTTTGCCCAAACACTCTACATGTGTTTTTTTTTGACTTGGAAAAGGCATTCAAGTGTGTTCAAAGGGGGATTTCTGTGGGGGGTAGTCAGCTGGGATAGGCTCCAGCACCCCCTGCGACCCTGTTCAGGATGAGCGGTGTTGAAAATGGATGGATTGATGGATGTTCAGCTTTGCCAGTGACCTCAGTGACAGAAGAGAAAATAAACGATTCTCGATTAGATGGCAGAAACTAAACTGTATGACTCAAGAGCTAGAAACGGTGTCACTGTTAATGTCCGTTATGTCCTTGTTATACTGTCTCTATGTGATCTTATATATAGTGTCCAATAAGGCTCATTCAGGTAGTGTTGAACTGCGGAGAAACACGGTCCTTGCACGCGTCTTACTGTTTTAGTGTATGATTATTGTTTGTTTGTTTGTTAGTGTTTAAAGCATTTTAAAGCATGAACGGACTCAAGTGGATTACTAACGACCTCAATAAAATACAGTCGATACGCCTCAGTCAAGACACGTAGCAAACTACACTAAGATGAACTATATACGTCATTGACATGTGTGACATTTTTGATTGTCACTGTGTCATGTGATTGTTTTCAAATTTAAAAGATGTGCCTTGGCTCAATAAAGGTTGGCAATCACAGCTGTAGTGAATTCCATCATCCATTTTCTAATAAACACCCTAAGGACCCTTCCAAGGCTGTGGCGATGGTCCGCTGCTCCTTCTGAACCTGTGATTCATCTTCCTGACGGAGACTGCTCTCCTTACCAGGGAGGCTGAGGACTGTGATATGAGTTGGAACACACCCTCTGGACCACACCCCGTTTTGCCGTATTCACAGGCACTGTCTCCAATGTTCACACAATGTTGTAAAGGCGTGTCAACCAGGACAGCCCCTCAATCGACTCTTTAGGAACTCAGAGCGGATCTCATTCACTCCCAGGACCTTGCCACAGAGGAGCTTTTTAACTACCACAGTGACCTCAAGACCAGAGATAGGACAACCTAATTCAGAGACTCCAGACTGTGCTTCTCATGGACACATTGGTGGAACTGAGGAGGTCTTCAAAATGTTCTCCCCACTGACTCATCTCCTCCCAAAGTCGAGGTCAGCAGTGCCCAATCCCCACTAAACAGAGTTTTTGATAGTGCACAGCTTCCCCCTCCTGAGATGCTGAATCATGGACCAGAATTTACTTGAAGCCGTCCCAGAGTTGTTTTCCATGACCTCACAGAACTTGTCCCTCCCACTCTCAGTCACGTCCTTTAAGTCTCACTGTCATTTCCCATCTATCTATCTATCTATCTATCTATCTATCTATCTATCTATCTATCTATCTATCTATCTATCTATCTATCTATCTATCCATCCATCCTTGCAATGCTCTGCTATGCTATACTGTATATGCATGCATATGCTATTCAGATATAGAAGTGGAGGTGGTTTGCACCAATGTCCAAATCACATTACAGCATGACAAAGCATTGTACTGATGGCATGTTGAAGTGACTCAACGGGGGATGTATAACCCCCTCCTACATGAGCGTGGCATGTATAGCACCGATGGGGGCCGTGGAGGGGGCGGTGCATCGTGGTCTGCGCACACTGGTTGGAGGGAGCTCGCGCAAGCAAACGGGAGGAACTGCAGTTTGTGTGTGTGTGTGTGTGTGTGTGTGTGTGTGTGTGTGTGTGTGTGTGTGTGTGTGTGTGTGTGTGTGAGTGTGTGGGGGGGGGAGAGAGAGAGAGAGAGAGAGAGAGAGAGAGAGCAGATTCGCATCCGCTTGACACATCGGTGTTGACAAAATGAGTCACGTGACCCGCACGAAGATGGCGTATCTTACTCTATATTGCAGCCTCCTCTCGATTCCTCTTGCGCCAACT